TGCCCTTCGCTGCCTGCGCGCAGGAAAACAGCGCCCGGCCCGAGCGTGAGGTGGCTCTTTGCGGCGTGAAAGTTATTTCTGTGCGTCCGGTGTATTTTGTGCCCCGTTGGCCGGAGGTTTTGCGTGGTTTGGCTTTAAACGGCTGTGGCTGGACTCTGTCAGAATGCAGGTAGCGCTTCAGAGAGCCCTTTGAGACTTTGAATTTATTAACGAGCTGTTTTGGAACGATTTTAGAGCAGTCAGTGGGTGTCTGCACAAGTTTCGAGTTCTTAAACAGCTTTAGAGGAACGGTCGCTATTTAAATCCTTGTACGTAATGGTGGAATGGTTGAAGAGGGTTGCTTAAAAATCTTTTTATGTTAACATGACCAGGTAGGTCAGCCTGCCTTTCCCCGCCCCCGAGGTGTGAGTGACACAAGTGTTAGTAATGTTGATAATACTCTGAAACGTTGCGAGTGCCTGAGCAAAGTGTGGAAACAGCAGCGGGGGGGAATGGAGATGAGATAACAGCTGAGATAATTGGGGAGCCATCAAGGCTGAGTTTACTGCAGAGTTGACATTGCTTCTATAAAAAATGTTAGGTGTTATGAAAAAAAAGCTTATGCAAATGTTATTTTCATGAATGACTGTGGCTGGTATTTCAGCGAAAGGTTCCCTGTGCTTATCCATTTGGAGACCGGTATTTCAAACTTCCAGTCTCTGACTCAGGAAGGAAACAGGTGTAGAGCAGTGGTAGGAAGAAATAAAATTCCCCAGATTTAAGAGGAGCAGCTTTTCCTTTTGCATTCTTTCTCATCATTTCTAGAGAAGAGTCCCTTAAGAAGAACTTTTTGAAGTTTTGTATTTTTGTATTTAGAACAGAAAGGCTTCAGGTGATACTTCCCTATCTTTCTTTTTTCTTTTTCTTTTTTTTTTTTACAGCTGTTAGTAGCAAAGTGCAGCCTCTGCACTTTATATTTGTCTGTTTTATAGCCTTCATCCTATATGACACAGAAGTTTCCATTGCAGATATCATACGAGGACCTAAAGGGAAAATATGCAGGGAACAGATGTCATTTTAAAGGAAAGCAAGTCCTGTTTTTTCTGAGGGTGTCTCAGGAATATGAGGAGCAGAATGCAGATGTGAAATACAACAAATCAGATGGGAGTGCACACTTTCTGAATGTTAGGAAAAATACTTTACTTGGAGAATATTTGCACGGTATGGTCACCTTGTCTCACAGATGGGACTGTTTGTGTACATGTGGTGTTACTGCCTCTCGAAATTCCTGTTTTAAATTAGGAAATTAAGTCACCAGAGAAAAAACAATGTGCACTAGCATTTTCATGAAATGTAAACAGTATTTCAAGGGTCGTGGGATACTTATTTTTAATACTGAAAAATGTTGGATCTGTGAATTTCTTCAGGAGTGTGGGTTCTCAGATAATGTTCTTCTTGCCTTTACAAAGTTAAGTTGCCTTTTTATTTTTTTTTAATGTCAGTGTTACAAGTTGTTTGAAGTTAGTTGTGTAACTGCTGAATTGACTTGGTTGTGAAGTGCAGTCCAGGGTGTGCTTTGTTTGTTTGTCAGTATGAAGAGGTGGGAACAGGGCTGACTGTTCAGCAGAGCTGAAACATAAAGCACCTCTCTCTAGTGGAGTAGGTGCTCACATGGACACAGGTTTTCCTTATGGCTTTGGAGAAACACAAAGAGGGGATGGCTGTTGCTCCAACTTATCCAGGGAAAGGTCACAGTTACTGAGTTTTGCAGTCGATGAGGTAGTGTGTGTACCAGGAACTTTGTTTGGGATTTGTTAAGTTTTACATTAATTTATTTGTAGAGGGCAGGAGTGGTTTAGTTTTCGTTCTGCAAACTCAGCAATGTAAGCAGACGTTTTACTGTCACTTACATAGTGACCAGGATGCCAACTGAATCATGTGGCTTTTGTTTCAGCGAGAGTAATTGAACTGCATGTGCTCTTTGCTCCTCAGATTTGATGAAAAGCAGTGAAGTTGGCAGAAATGTGGTCCTGCTCAGGATACTTCACGAATGCCAGGATGTTGTTTAACTTGTGTGCTGTAACTTAATATGTTCCTGTGAAAATGTGCCAAACTTTAATGAGTTACTGTATGGTCAGAAGATAAATTTACATTTTTGGGAGTGGATTTAGGTAGAGATTGATAGTGGCTAAGTGTCCACCGCCCCATACATGTATGTGCAAACACTGTGCAGACCTCAGAGTTCTAGGGCTGGTTCACAGGGCTGTGAGCATGACAGTGAGTGGGGAGGGAAGCATATTGGCTTCATTAATCATAGATATTAGTGATCAGGCTCTATCACTCCAAACTGGAAATTCTTGATTAAAGTGTGCTTAACTATTTCAGTTCCTACCTTCTCCCTGGCCTGCAGCAGCATGGGGAGAAGAATTTTTTATACTTTATGCTACTTAGACCTTTCTATATTTAAACAGCAGAACAGTTCTGCAAAGTGTTGGTGTGTGCAGTTCCATAAAATGACTAATCTGAAATAGTTGCACTTCCAAGGTCTGTCTTAACAAAAATCCTTTGAACCAGTGCAGCCAAACATAACTGAGGTTTTCTGCAATAAATGATGCTCAGAAAGAAATATTTTACAGTCTGTGACCTTGTGCCCTGGGGACTGCTGTACACAAGAGTTCACCAGGAGTTACTGAAGTTCTGGGATTTATAGTCATTCCAACAAAAATGCCAGTGTTGGTTTGGTTGGGCTTTTTTCTCCTTGAATCTTGTGATCGCTTCCAGTTCAGTGTTTTACACAGTTTTATCCTCCACCCTGAAAGGAGCATCACAGCTTCATGGTGTGATGCTGGTGACTCTTAAGGAAAGGGGTGGGTGGGTGTGTATAATGTTGTCTAAATACAAGTCCCTGGTTTTAGGAATCCACTTCTTCCAATACAGGAAGAAATTAAGATTTTTAATTTGATTTCCCTTGGAGCAGTTTATTTTCAGTGTCAGGTCTAGGTTTAGGTGGACTGTGAGTGTCAAGCATAGTAAGGGCCAGGAGGGCAGTGGGGGTAGAGGTTTGGGGTGACAGGAGTGGCTTTTCTGGATATCTCTGTGACCCCCACGGTGTAGTTACAACATACAGAGCATGTGGCAATGAGCATCACTCTTGGAATTTTGTCATGTTCAGTTTGTGATGAAAAACTAACTTGTAAATAAAGGACTGAGTCTGCCAGGGAGGTACATGGTATTTTTCTGGGCACAGAAATTATTTGCATTCACAAAGTTGCTGTATGGTAAAGATTACAACAGGTCTCCAGCCTTTCAGCAGAGAGGAGTGTTTTGCCATTGTATTACAATGCGTCACCCATCATCAAGGGATTAATCAGGGCTCACGTGAGATGGTCTAAAAAGACCTTTGATGTTAATCTTAAAAAAACTCAGCAAGGAAGTCTCATCCTGAAAATGTTGAATGTGTTATGATCTTGCCTGTTAGTTTGGCAAAACTGTCTTTCCTATGCTTTGAACTCTAGTTAAAAGTAGAGAAACAGGTTAATGGCAACTTTCATGTCTTCGGGTTGACTGGGCCTTATGGAATGTATCCTACAGTATTTAGGGAGCTGAGAGCCTGTGGGGGTGGGAAAAGTTCCAGAATGCTGAGGAGCTGAGGTGCACTTTCCCTCACAACATCCAGAAAAAAGGCAGGACTCGGCTGTCTTCA